CGGTGTCTATCACGATACGCCAACAAAACCAAAATCAGCAATATGGGAACCCAGCGCCCAGAGGGTAGACCTTCCTGGTAGCATAACATAGATCCCTGTGATAGTCTAAAGGTAAGACAATCCATTTTATAAGTTCAATGAAGTAAATAGCCAGCAACAATCACGCATTCCTAGCGGTGATACAGGGGTTTACCACTATGGACTCACATACAATATCGACAGTAATAGGAGTCAACAGTTGGTCAACAGCCTAATAATAAGAAACCATTTTTCCATCACATTTCAGTCGCAGTACAACAGATAGTGTTGTTATTCGTCTTTATAATTCGTATTAGTGTAGTAGTAGTCGTCTACTCAGCGAACTCTAGGATCTGGTAAACCGATATCGCGGTACCGCCGACCAGGGTAATGCAACCCAGGATAACGAATGCTGCATACAACCAATTCTCAGCAGCGAAGAATCTCTTGCTCTTCGAGATGGATATGCAGAAATACCCAGGAGCAATAAAACACAGGATGGATCCAGCAATAGCACCGACAATACCCATCAGGATGGATACATCGGGCAAGGCGATATCGATGAGGTAAGAAATGACGACAGCGATGGTAACGACTACAACTCCCCAGAAGTCAGCACGCTTTGGTTGGAAGGTGTTGATGAGGGCGACACGGACAGGATACACCATAAACGGATAAGTGCCAATGAATGAGGTGCCCGTCCAAATGAAGCCGATGATGACAACGACATCACCCTGGGGAATCCAATCGGCCATGTTAAGCAAGACACTGCTCTGTGCATCAGAACCGAAAACCAGAAGGAACGGGATGGCAATGATGAAGTAAACGGCAGTGCAAATAACGGCAGACCAGACAGCGACCGAACGCAGCTTCTTTGGGCTTCTATTGCTCATCTCCATGTAGATCTCGGGCATGTTAGCTTGGTTGCAGAACCCGAAGATGTACGTGGTGACACCCTCGATGCAGGCGATCCAGCTGACAGGGGCATAGGCATGACCACGATCGAAGTTCTCAGAAATACCGTTCGAGCCAAGGAGATATAGAGCTACGATAGCCAACCAGAATATTCCGAGAATACTAACAATAGTGAGGTACCTCAATGAGCCGAGACTCTTAACCAGACAGATTGGGTACATGACAATACCCAACATGATGAGGGATAAGTAATACCTCGAGGTTAGCATGATATGATACCAAGCATTGGGGTCATCGATGGTGAGCTGATTGAACAATGGTGCCAATGAATCGACAACAGTTACCAAATAAGAGGCACTGCTACCCAAACAGAAGACAACCATAGCAATCTGGAAGCCGTACAGCACCTTACGACCACATAGATGCTCTATGATGGTAGCGTACGAAGTCTTGCCCGTCTTCTCTACAGTCTTAACAATCATTTCTAGAGAAAACACGTTCAACACCGCCATGAATATCAGCAATAA